CAAACAAAATACCAAACTGAAGTTCTCGACAGGAAGGCATCTGCGATAAATTGTTCTCAGGAGAGTGGATGCCGATAATATATGGATTCAAGTGCTTTCCCATTGGAGTTCGTTCTGTGCTATTTACATTTTGTGCTAGATTTTTATACTGACAAACCTAAGCATAGTTGAAACTAGGATATCGTATTACTGGTTCAGTGGGTACTGCACTAATAGTTCTCCAATCCCCCACAGACACTGATGATATATTTTGCTTTCTGTAGATCAGGTTGCCTACATTACTGAATAATTACATCTACCACCCATTGCACAGTCATAATATTAAACAGCTATCACTTGAATGTATTGCACAAACCTGTCCAGTGCCTTGAATGGAAAACAAATTATTTCTATTCCGGCTTAAAATTACTCTAAAATGAGCAAGCACGAATACACGATTTTCCAATCTCTCGTACTTACTCGACGGAGCCGCGTTGAAGCTCCAGGGTTTCTGATTATAATATGGATTCGCTCAATAGTTTATTACTATGTAACGAAGCCTTTTTCACAACGGTGATGAACAAATTTCCTAAAACGAAACCAGTAGTTATTGAATTCCAAACGAGTATTTTTATTTTTTTAGCTAGAATTTGTTCTAACTGAATATATTAAATTGTGTAATACATATTTTATTTTTTACAGGCAATAATACAAGCAACTATTACAAAGTTCAGACTGCACGCTATATCAATAGAAGAATGAGTGTTATCTCCTATATGTATTTATACATTAGCCTTCTATTGTTGATACCCACCTACATGTATCAATATAACCAGCTATAGCGATATAGGAATGGGTCAGTTCATGCAGTTACTAAATGATAATGCACTGATTGTAGTCCTCATGTTTGTTACATATCAATACAAGTTTTACATCAATCTACTCCCAAAGCTCCTCACTGTTCCAGACACAGGCTGATGCAGCCATGCCACGAATGATTCAAAACATCAACCTGTATTCTGAATTGACATGAGATTTGAGCATCACATGCCATATTTGCACAAATCTGTCAAACTTTAACTTTTCAAGCATTAGCATGAGCACATGTACTTATAATAATAATAGAGCAAATACATATATTCGTTGCATTTTACAAGTCTACAACAGACCTGAACCAGTCACCTGGCATGAGCTGATTTCAATACAAGTGTGATTTATACATGTGAAAAACAGCACCCATTATTATATGAGCTCAATGTGTCTAAACTGACCGACAACACCTGGCTATAATCAGAGATTGAAATAAAGGCAGGCCTATATGCCTAGAAATTCTCTTTGGCTCCAAGCATTACTCTCCAAGGGGCCTGCTTGGCTCCATACATACATTATCTCTGTCACATTAATTATTCGTAATGCTCAATTTCAAAATTATATTTTTCAACAATGCCATCACTACTCTTATTCTCTTCATCTATCCTGCCTTATTTTGATTTTCCTAAAATTGTATACATGTCTGATCCCATTGTTTTTTTGACTGGCTCCAAAATTGTTGTACTTCGGAAGCATGCATGGCTCTAAAATTCTCTACTTTATGTCACCTTCTGCTATAAGCACTTGAAATTAAATATTTTCACCTTGTAATGGCTAAAGTATTACAAATTGGCGGATATTATTCAGTTTTAGAACTGAACAATGGAAACAATCACTATGACATGTGCAGCCTAACAATACACACTAAGCTTACTATCAATGACATGCAGTACACGCGCAGTCTGACTACGAGTTTCAGCCAACACCAATATGCAGCTGTGTTCAAGTTGTTACAATACTCAACCTCCTAGCAAGCCTCAAAAACATTACTCATGAACCTAACAACATGCAAACATCAAATACGACAACCTACAAGTTGCCATCACTGAGGTAGACTCCAATGCATGCATTGTTACATCAAAGACCGCTTTGCAACCGAAACACAAAGTACAGCTGTGGAATGTCTACTCAACAGGAAACATGGTTACTACTGATCATAAAATACGATCAGCATGCCAAATATTAAAATTACCAATCTTGATAAGACAACAATCTTTTACGGTATATACACCAGAGACTCAGACCACAGTCTGAGCATGAAACATGAAAAAAAATATATGAACTAAATCAGTCTTGTTAGTTTCAGATCACTGTCACCAAAAATGAACGACTGAAAATACTACATTACCCTGCCATTTTTACCCGTACGTGACATGTGTTCCCACTATCCTATTAACTACAAGGCATAATCAGACGGTTCTATTCCACATGTGAAGTGTGGATGACGAGTGTGTACATACATGGAGTATGAGCTGGCTGGGAATAAGTGAAATCCATGTAATAGTCACTAGTGAAGAGTTGAAGCCATGTAGCAGTGATCACTAGAAAACTGTATACACATTTCCTGATGAGTGTCTACTACAGAGCGCTTTACTCAAAGTCACGTAATCTCAAACTACAGGCAAACGATCTTATAAACATTCTGAACTCGAAATTAAATTTGTCGAGATTAGGATAATGATACATCTTATGGTATAGTACATATCGTCAATGTTAATTGATGTTACATGTAATGAATGCTGGGACTGATCAGCACCTGTATAATATAATATTGGTACAACTACCTGTAACACATATTGTGGAAAGTGTCTTCATGTCAACTGCGTTATTTACAGTATCTGCTGTATTACTAGTGCATAATGATCCAGTATACAATATGTGTACAATTTTGGATTGATGTGCACTTTTAATCTAGCATATACAATAACAGTATTAGTCTATTGTTCTTTTGATGGCCTACTGTTGTTTTTGTGGAACCAGACAAAAGTCCTGATGAATGAATGAGACTGTTTTTCATTGGCTATTGTACAGTATACTTTCTGTGTAATTACCAACTATTTAAAGACAAACATATTAACCCTTTGTACCCCATTGTCAACTTTTGGCACTCCTACAAAATGATAGTCTGCTCCTCCCCAGGTAAAATATTGATAAAAATTGACAAAACTTTTGATCAAAAACTAAAAGCAATTCTTTTGAACTGTCTGAATGGTCCAAAATGGTGATGAAATTTTCTGAAAATTTACAAAATGTAAAAAATATTTGCACTGAATTTTGGGCGAGAAAATTATCTCTCAAAGGTTGAATGAATGAACTGTACATGATTATTGGACTATCCGAACCACCTGTACTCTAGTTGGTAACACCATTTAATAACACTATATATGGTTGAGGTAAAAGTATTGAAATGATGTATTGGCATACAAGGGCTGCATTAACAGATTTGACTAGTAATCACACACATAGTGTGAAAACGATCTTTTCATCTAGGATGTTATTTTAGCTAATTTACCTATTCAACATCAAAGTAATAATCCAGGATCCAGTGTAGTGTTCAGGAAAACACAGCATTGTTTGTTTGTTGAACATGGATTGTTTGCTCTACTGTAAAATGTTCAAAGTTTACCAGAGATAAAGGTTCATATTTTTTTTGCGACTCTGAAAGAACATTGCAACATGTTGTAGCAGTAACAATGTTATTGACATTCTAAAAATATTGAGTCACAGAATAGAAAAGTTTAGTCCTACAGCCATCAAATTATTAAGGCACAACAAGCTCTACTGAAATTGGATTACAGTAATAGTATTTCATTCCTTCAAGAATGTTATATTATAGAGTCCACTACTACTGGGATAGTGACACCTCATTCCTGACATGAAAATAATCTAAACCAATCAATCTTTGCAGCACGGAATTTCCACATTTTGATGGATGATAATGGTAACAAAATTTTATGAGAGTCACTGTGATTCAAATCCTAGTGAAATCTTCAAAGTTTCAATATGTTACAATTTCTCTAGCTCACACAATTTGCTACACAAGAATTGTTATGTAATGCTAATATATAATGATACAAATACAGGTTACCATCAGTTTTTTGCAGTTTTAAATCTACCAGCAGTAAGCAAAGACTATGTACTTAAAAACCTCAATACATCATAAAACATAACTCTTCAATATTAAAAATTAATAAATTCTGATTATACTTGTGTATCTGTACAACATCAAAACTATACCCAAATCACAGCTTGTAAATACTGTTAAGTACTGATCAACAAATGTTGTGAGGGTGTGTTGCACAGATCTTGACACAAGCTGGTGAGATAGCTAAACGTAATGGTATCACACATGGATTTGGTGTACTTTCTAGAATGTACAGGTAACCTACAGCTGAAGATACTGAATACATGGATTATCTTAACTTAGGGATAAAAAAAACAAGATTTAGTGTTAGTAGTATACAGTGTATCAGAGTGTATGGATGAATTAATAATGAGGGTACCATAGTATTAATATAAATGCAATAGTAATTTAATTATGCTGGTAGAACACAGAAAAAAAATATTCATGTCTGATGATATTATGCTATGCAGGATACAACACAGAGTTTACATTTAACGTTTCCTTCAACAGGGAAAATAACTGTATTCCCTGTAATATAATTAAACGCCAATGGGAAAATCTGCGTTCCCGTGGGCTAAAAATGAAGAGCGGCCGTGGACAAACTGCTTAGATTATAGATAACTCCTTGGCACCGTTGTGATACAATAATGTTCACAAGTCGTTCTCGTTCTCGTGTACGACGATTTTCTGTGGGCAATGTTTAAACCAGAATGCATTCAAAATGTTGATTTATCGAAAACATATGTTGACCGGCTCCATGACCAGATCAGTTCGATCGTGCGCCGCTGATTAGAACGTAGCAGCTATTATTTTAATGCAGAAGCAACCAAACCCTCGAAAATCCTGTTTTGCAGCGAGTGCGTACCGGGTTACTGTTTCAAGAGAAAACGTAGCCTCATTCACGAGATCTCCGAAGTATTCCACGAAACTCGGAGCTCGGGAGATATACGTTGATCGCTATAAACACATTTAGTCATGAAAACAAAAAGAGACTATTTAGAGTTATTATGAACTACATTTCTCCTACCTTGTCGACGTGCCTTTCCGAACATCACAAATTTCGCATTTGAACGCTTCTGCGGAATTTTTATATGTACATACACTGCAGTCCCAGTAGCTCTCGTCTGGTGATTTAGATTGTCTTTTAGGTCTATTAGAAAGAAAATGGATATCAGATATACCATAAATAATTCACCTGCAACAGCATACACAAAGAGCAAAATGCGTCTAAACACAGTGAACACACTACGATCGCTAAGTATACCACGGCGCACTGTGTTTATAACGTACAGCCGGTCATATCGAGGGAAAACCGCGCACACACACACACTCACACACACACACACACACACACATCACTGCATTTCGTCGTTGATTTCGCCGGCAATCTGTACTCCACGACAACAATATTCACACATAACGCAAGCTTGAAAACTGACTCACCTACTGGGGCTACGCTTTTGATCCATTTCGCGGAACCTGCAGCAAATTAATCCAAAGAAACTAAGCGAATTCCACCTAGCTAAAGCCTTTCCTGGCCTTGTCCTGCGGACTGATGATGGGGCTTTCCTCTGTCTGCACGTAGCGGATCACGTGCCAAAAATCGACCAATCACCAGCTGTGATAGTTCCCGGCATTCCACGGCTCACCCAAAGCCTCGTTTTCAGACAATCCTTGACCGTCTTTTTCGTCATATCTTTCGTCAACTTTGTCATTGACCCATTTTGTAAACGTTACACGAAGTCTTCTTTGTTTGTGGACAATGCACTCTGATGAAATCCCATCGTAACACAAAACAATTTTTATTTTTAAACGAGCTTTGAAACGTCTCCTTGTGTGTTACTGACACTTATCGCAACCTTGTAAGTTGCCGAGGCAGGATGATGACCCTCAACGATCACGTCCAGGTCACGTCACAAGAAATTGAACGAGTGAATATCACGACCCCCTTAACACATTTCACAGTTTGAATTCACATGTACTGCTGAAAATACCCTAACGTTGAAACGTCGCGTGTATTTATTCATTTATCAGCTTGTTCTCGTCATCATTTTTTCATCTGTCAAAAGAGTAAGGATAATTAACATAAATAAAAGCCAATGTAACATCTGTAATACTCTCTACTTGAAAGTAATCTCAAATCAAAACACCAGCTTGTCTTCCACTTAAACGACTGTATCCACTCACAGTGTCTACTTTCGTGCTGACACGCACGCAGGTTTGATTTTTCTACCTTTTATTACATAATTATATCATCAGATAAGCACGAAGTTCGAAACTTACAGCTCAAATAATAATATGAATAACAATGACAAATACTAACAAATGTACAAATTCTCAACCCTGAAAATGAATGAATGAAATAACATGATTGTACTACAACACAAGTATATCTATCCAGAGACTGTTCCTCAACACCGGCGTTGAGGGACGGTGATCATGGTAATGATATCATGGATAGTAATCAATCATTTATTTAACTTGGGAAATTGTGTTATCGCATTACATACAAAATAACGTAAACACCAAATAAATAATTTCAAAAACAAAATTATGGTTGTTGTAATTAATTCTAGAAAGTTACTTACCTTTGTACATAACTGATTGCTGTCGCGAATAAAGCAATGTATCATGTTTCTGTTTGATGAATACAATTATAACACAATAACGTGTCCGGCGTTGCGGGATATTAAAGAGGGGCGATACTGAATGACACGTAGTAGTGCATCATGCGAATTAAATCGTGCAAAACTCTTCGCATTAGATTTTTAAATTCTAAAAGAACAACTCCTATACCACGTTTTCATGACTAAATGTGTTTATAGCGGTTATTGAGAGACCGTGTCTATACATACAAATGGTTTATCCATGGAGGTAAGGTTTGTCTATTGCCACATGTATATCACTGACTCCATGATTTTTGCCCAACTTGAAATTACAGTCCTGTATCCATTGAAACAACCACGGATAACTGTACTGACCCCGTTTTCATAATTTATATCCAAGTTCTCACCTGCCAGCAGTTGGTGTAATGAAACTATCAAGAACGGGTGGTGTTGTTTATTTTTCTCAATTTTGCCATCAACATTGAAGAATAGCGCTAAAACGAATCTACTTTTAGCTCAACTCAGGAACGCACTGTGTCGACTTGTAGGCTGATAGGATAGACATTCTAACGAAGACCGCAGTTATATAACACTGTCGCGGATTTCAATCATTATCACCGATTAGAAAACGCTGCATTCTAGGTAGTGGTATAATTGACATCGAATGCTACGCCTGGCAAAAACCGTATGAACTTGTTCGCTAATATTTGCGCTGTCAGTCAGAGCACATGGACGTAATTTGATACACCAATTTCAAAGAGCGCAATAGCATGCAGTATAATCCACACTTATTCAATTCGCTATATATTTAACACAAGTCTGATAAGTTTCACAAATATGCACCGTTCGTCCTGCTTGATCTCAAACGTTCGACTCAAATGGTAAACAGACATGCTAAAATCAACCGTGTGCTCGTATGCAACTCACGGTGGCGCGATAAACTACAATTCAAAGAAACGCGCATAGAAGTCTCACCTGGACTGAGAGCGGCTTGTCATCGCCTTGCTGTAAGTTCATAATTACGTGACCAATACGAGAGACAATATTTAGGTGGCACTCGTAACTTTGCTTAACTATGAAACCATTACGTAACTCCCACAGGAGTTAACAATAATGCATAATTTACTATTGTAGAGTAGTCACATAATTATAAAAAAAGATAAGTTAATATTTTGTAGCTCAATGATAAATGTGAATTTAGTAATTGGATAAAATATTATTTTAAATGTCACGTATATACAAATATATATTACTTAATACTTTTCACACTTTAATTAATGTCATTGTGATGAATACCAATTCAAAATTCGACGGAAAATATATTAAATATACTAATAATAAGATTTTTAAAAAGTGTAATGTTTTTCTTAAATGTCTGGACTGAAAACAGTAATGGGTGAATCACGTGTTCTTTTATTATGTGTCGGTAAAAATATGAAAACTGAATACTAATTTTGAAATGAGATCGCCAAATTGGTTTCAACATGCCCATTCTAAGTATATGTCGAGATTCAATGATACGTTACTACCCTGTTGCAGGTTTGCAATATACACTGTACTACCCATCCATTCAACATATGCTGTCAAGGAAACCATAAACATACCACCGTGAACATATTACCAACCCATTCCCATATGGCTTGTATTTCTTTGGCGGTTTTAAGCGTGGATACGAAAACCTTCAGTCGCTGGGTTCACACGAGGTCACCAAATGACCTCGTTGTAGTTCAAGTGACAACACAACAAAGGGGCATCGTGATAAAATATTCACCATGCTTTGCCCGACATTTGATTTTCTTTAAGTTTGAAATACATAAATCTCCACGTAAAATTATTCTAATTATTGCCTTGAGTTATATTTCATATTCTGACATATAGAATGTCAGTCTGAACAAATATGCTGTATTAGAAAAAGAGAGGCAGAACGTGACAATATGAGGCTTATCGTTTAGAGCACATAAATGATCAATAGACTAACAAAAAAAGACTCCGAACGGATCCGGGAAAACCACAACCTGAAGCACAACTGATTACCGCATTGCTGTACGACACGGTGTTGCTAGGCAGAATCATGCGTATAGCATGTGATGCATATACAAGGACTGAAGGGGAAAACCGACGTTGTATTCACAGCAACACCGACACATGAATGAAATGTTACTAATGTAGGCAATTTAGCTCCTGTCGTTTAGGGCGGTACGATTTTATTGTTTCTTTTGAGGAACGCCGCCACCAGTCCTGATCCTCCCAATGACACTAATCATAAACATGTGGACGATTTGAAATCGTTACCACCGTGAATAGATGTTCATTGATACTGAGGAAATTAAAATATATTTAGATTAAAAATGCGAAAACTACGACTGTGTCGATATTTAAGTTGAAATTGGCAAACGATGCAGCACTGATTAATGCATTATCTTGTAAAAACATTGGTCACATGTCCAGTGGGCGAAGAGTCTGTTTCGGAACACGGTGGAGCGGATGCGATGCGATTTCCATTCATATACTTCCGTTAGTAGCCAAAACGTGAGCTGTATTAATACCTCGGAAATTAATTAAATAGTGGTTAATCGATAACAGTTCAGTTGACGACAATGATGACGGAAACGTGAAAGTATGTTGTGTGTTTAATCACGGGCGAATGTGATGGTAACTACACGCCTGGCTGTTGTCCAATTAGCGTGGATTTGCCGCATGACTTCTTAAAATATATATATATATATATATCCAAAAAGTAATTTCAAAACAAATTCATCGTATTGTAATACAATTGAGAATTGCATAAGGTACTAATCGCGACAATGTAATCAATGACCGTGTTCAATATTGTTGTATGTGCAGAATAACATCCATAGAAAAAACACCCTTGGGCATAATCGCACAATCCAAACACCTACAAACTGTGCGTAGAATTATTATTCAAATCTGCAGCCCGCAAGTTATCTTCATCGCCGGGAGGTAATCACGGTATACCTAAAGTGCTGCCTACTTTTCCCTAAACAAACTGAAGGTCAGATAATTTCTGAAAAATATGCTTATATACATTGGCGGATTTAGATGACGCATTCTTTTCTACCCTTTTGTCTTTCTTTACCAATTTTTTCCTGAGATATGGTCGATGCTTTGAGCCCTGGCGTTAAAGTTCCGTCATTTTTTCCCGACTGCCCCCTGTCCTCATCTTAGAGATAACAGAAGGAATGTCGACGGTGTCCCTTCATATAGCAACCTAGTCAGAGCTACGTGAACATCCACAGCCTACAAACTCGAATTTTACATAAGTAACATAATACAACAAGTACATAAATGCATACTTTTCATTGGTTATTGATCATCGGCTTACTCATACAGCTAATAAGATGCAACCGCCGGCTTCATCCAGAGAATGCGTGTTTGTACCAAATGTAGCTATATTTTCTGGCAAACCTATTCAAAGAAATAACAGTCAAAATTAACGTACCAAGTCAAGTCAAACAGAAACACGTTATTTGCCGGGGCTTTCAAACCTTCGGGCCAAGTTCAACTTGAAGACTATACACAATACGCACAGTTGGTACTAACGTTGAAAAAATACTGAACTACGAACACTTGCCATTGTGTGGGCAGCAATTGAATGCTGTTTATTTGCAAACAACACGGCATTTTGACCGTAATTGGCCGCCATGCAAGCAAACTCAAACTTGAACAAATGCGCCATCCATGAATGTAATTCAAGCGCCCTTGTTTTCTCAAAAAAATAATCGTCAACAGAGGGTTGTCTTGGGAGAGAGAGAGAGAGAGGGGGGGGTTCTACCTGACACCTTGAATTCATCATGATCTACATTGCGTAGCGATAAAAAAAAAATCTTACAAGTCACTTCGCCTCCAGCCGGCGTGAATTTTAACAAGACTCGGAACATATGCACTTATGCTACAACACTCGTTTATTAAATCTTATATCGTAGATCACCGTCACTCTATAGATCACAAAATATTCCT